GATTGAGCATGATCCATGTAGTTAGATTCTGCTGCATAAAAAGAATTACATTGATTGAGCATGATCCATGTAGTTAGATTCTGCTTCAACAAAGATCATGATGGAAAAAAAAGGGTCACATCACGTGTCTATAGCTTCTGCAATTATGAGAGGACTGTAGAAACTAGAATTTAAATAGTTTTGTAAATTAATTTATGCTATGATAAAATAGATTATTTACTAAATAGGTATTACAAACAACCGCCATGGTAATCCTTGAATTATTATTGACATCAAAACTTTCAAAAGACCTTATCTTTTATGGGAAAACATTTTTTCCTTTTAAAGGAGAAAATTTTTCTCCTACCAAAGACACATAGTATAAGTGGGTCTCTCCACTATTTTGTAGGTCCCACTTATGCTATGAGTCTTTGGTAGGAGAAAAATTTTCTCCTTTAAAAGGAGAAAATGTTTTTCCATAAAGGGGTTTGATTTTCTCATGTTGAATAAGAATTCAATTCTCATGTTGTAGAGATAAAAAACATGTGGGACCCATGTGTTAGAAAAAATTATATGTAGGACCCATACCAGCACGGAAATCGAAGAGTGTGTAGGAAAATTTTAATTTCATGTTGAATGAGAATTATAAAACCCATTAATTATACCACAAAACTAAATAAAAATGAATTTAAAAAATGAACTCTAACTAAATAAACACCTACAATTTTTTTTGTAACAACTAAGAACTTCAATGGGACCATCAAAGCTGCATCTCCACCCGTGGAAATTCCATGAACAAGAGCAACCTATTATAACAAAATAGCACCATTCTAGAAAATATAAGAATTCACTAAATAATCACAATCACATATTACTTTAAATGGTTGAAGAGAAAATGGAATTAAGTTCCTAACCACAACCTGTGTTTTCTTATAATCTGTCAGGTAAAAAAACTGAACCTAGTATGGTTATTTCAAACATTTCAGTTGGTATAGCTATAGGACTACTTTTTTGAAAAAATAAAAAATAAAACCAGGGTGAAATAATGTAAACAACTTTGAGAATAATTAGCTCTGCTTTGTCATCTTTCTCCCACTTTTCCAAATATGCTGCTAGAAGATAAACCTGATAGCAATTGAAGTTTTTTTGGTTAAGAAAAAGTAGTATAAGTAAAAAACTAGCGAATTATCCAAGTCAGTGGTGGATCCAGAAAAACATTTTTATATCTGCACACTTAGGGTGGGGGTTCGAGGATGCCGCCTCTGATTTTTTTTTAAAGATCATGATCCAATTTTTGCTTCCACTTCAAAAGTAAAGCTTTGGTGAATCAACCAAAGTTTTAAGGAAATAATTGATAATGATAATTAAAAATAAATAACACTACCAAAAGACATTTGTAAAGTTTTGACCACTTTTGTTTCACAAAAGATCGTGAAAAATTCTGTGTGATGCTCCTCTTCTCTTTACCTTTTTCCTTTCAATCTTCTTATTTTTATTTTTTTTACTTGGCCTGAATCACACATCCTATGTGAAAAAAAAATTCCCCAATTTTTTTATGTCTGCAAGTGCAGACAATGGCACCCAAATGGGTCCGCCATTGATCCAAGTTACACACAAATTATAAACCAATTGTCTAAGATGATTATATTTCTAAGTAAAACTAATAGAATACATTTATTGTAATAAAAAAATATTAAATAGTAATTAAAAATTGACAAATATCTAAAAAGATAACTGAACGGTTATATAAGAAAAAAACAGTTTGCAAAATAAATGAGAATCTGATCCTACAATGGAAAATGTAAAAAACACACTAACTAATATGTCATATGAAGATGTGTCACTCCTTTCCTTACTAATCTTAAACAAGTTCTCAAGGAATGTACTCCATTAGTGTGCTTTTTTCTTCCATGATGAATTTATTTCCAGATCTTTTTTGTCCTTAAGCAAAGATGCAAACATTATAGTCAAACATAGACAAAAAAATGGAAAAATTAGCACAAGAGAAAGAGATGATAAATAATACCTGAAGTATCGTAAAAGGCTGGAATTTGCAAGGCATTCTATAAACTGGCCTTACAACCAAAGGGTACCCATGAAAGATATACAAGATTGTGTCAAGCCTACAAATACAGTTACAGCCAAATTTAAAAAAAAAATAGCTCATAACCTCAAAGACAAATAGCTCATAACCTCAAAAAATTAAATACCTCATAACCTTAAAGCCTAAAATGAAAGAGTTTTTCTTTGTGCCTGAGCTTAGTTTTTATAAAGAGAAAAGACTTTCCCACCATTCAATAAGTACAATAGAAAGGTTATAATTTTTTCATTGAAGTTTTGTAAATGAGTTATTATATAGAGTTATGAACTGCAATTTTTTAAAGACAAGGTATGGTATTGGATGAAATTAAACTTCAATAAGTAATTATCTCATGGAAATGAAAATTAAAAATTATTTAGAAGACAAAAAAAAAAACCTTGATACCTCCTATTGTCATTTTACATCTATTAGTTAGAAGACAAAATAAAAACCAAAACTAGTCTAGACCAAAATGTCATTTGCCTGCAGAGGAATATCAGATGGAGCAGTGAATCAAATGAAGAGGACAAATAGGAGAAAAGGCACGTGATGGAAAACCAATAGCCATAAGTAAACTTGCACATAATAGGATACAACATATACATCTTCCCAGTATGTTAAATGACAAGCTTATTTATTTACATTTCAAGAACATTTGGAGTTTGACCATTGATAACTCATCCTCTCAGTTGTGTTTCCAAATTTCAATTCAATGGGAAAGCAGAAACTGAACATATATATTAAGGAAAATGATATTCTCATATTCATATGAACATATATACTAAATGGGTTAGTGACTGACTATTTGACTCAATTATGAACATGTCACATGATTCACATATCCCAATTTTGCCTAGGACAAATTAATCTGAGTAAGTGTTATTATATTAGTTTGTTAATAAAAAATCTATAAAAAATCAGTTCCTCAAAGATATAAAATAATTATTAAATTTATTCTTTTGCGTTATCACTTTAATATTTTAGAAGGATAGATATAATGTTACTTTACATTTTCAAGGAACTAATTCAATAATTAAATTTTAAGAGATTAATATCGTAAACTTAATTATAATTAAATTTTTAAATATCTCCTTAAATTTAGTTTATATTGTCAGCTGTAATTAAATAATAAGTATGTAAATATTTATACAGGTAACAATAGTTCTATTTACATCATCTATCTGTATGCTCCCCGTGAAAATGTGGTTCCAGAATTTCCCAGTTAATAATTGAACGCATCATTCATCACAAATCATAACAATTGAGAATTTATGAGAAAAAATTTATTTGAGATGAGATTATTGACTTTAAATACAAAAGAAAAACCTTTTCCTCATTTAATAAATGCTCGAAATTCAGATATTATGCTGTGGCATCAAGGGGTGTTAATGGTCGGGCGCGGCTGGGCTTTAGTCTTGAAATGTTAAGTATGTGTTTAAATGTGTCAGATTGAACTAGTCTGTAACCTAGTATGAATATAATTATCGGTTTGTGGCCTGATTTATTTACAAAAAACAATAAAAGTTTGGCTTAGCCTATTAAAATAAAATAAGACAATAAAAATTTATCCAAACAGAATATACGATCAACAATACTAATAATTTCACAAAGATTCATAAATTCAATGTATATCTAAATAGCATAATGTAGAAAAAAATTATTCAAAAAATTTGCTTAACCAATAAACTAAATTAGTACGAAATTTTGCATATCCAAGAAAATAAAAGACTACAAATTCTGTGTAAACAATTTAATATACTCATATTAACAATATAATATATTGCGATATTGCCTCCTCCTACATAAAAAAAAAAAAAAAAAAACAAGTCAGGTTATTTTTGACATTCAATTATAATATCATAAGACATAAATTAGTAATATAAAAAATATAAAATAAAAATAAGAGTTGGTATATCATATTAGCCTAATAGGTTCAAAGATTAGACATTTGAATTGGAGTATGAAACCTTTTTATTAAATAAGCTTTTAGACAAGTCTAAATTTATATATAATAACCAAAATAAGTGCACATTTGGATCTTCTCTTTTTTAAACTAGAAGCTATTTATAAGCATAAATTAAGCCAAACAGGTTTTGAGAAAAATTATTATAATGAAAAGTTCTTTTTTATAATGAAGAAAAAAGTTAAAAATTAAAAGCTAAAAGCTCATATGAAGAGCTTTTTTTTAAGTTCTTATCTGCTTTTCTTAAATTATGTGTATTTTTTTTAATGAAGAGATATAAAAATAAAGTTCTTGAAATATATGCTTTTAAGTTAAAAAAATTATATAATTATCAAACAACTTTTAATTTTTTTTTTTTTACTATAACTTATAAATAACTTCTTAATTTAAAAAAAAAAAAAACCAAACAGACTCCAAATCAGTTACACGAGAACTACAGAGTACAGACTATACCAAAGACCCTATCTCTTTTAATACCCTTAGGCATCGTCCATTTATTCAGTGGACTAAATATTTTCTCACGTATTTATCCAAAAAAAAAATCTCACGTGATAATGTGATATTGGGCTATTGGCGCACATTTTAGATCTAATTCTAGCGTCATATTCATAAAGTAAGGTTCCAGGAAGGCAGGAAGTGGTTGAATGGGATTACTCCTACTTTTAAAAAAAAAAAAAAAACAAATAAATTTAAATTTCGACGCGCATTTTTTCTCTTTATGGCCATAGGCCCATAGGGACCACAAGTAGGGAGAGGGAAGTGATTGACAAGACCTATACCTATGTCCTATGTTGAGGGAGAATGACTCTTTTCGTATTAAAATTTTTGTATTTATCTCATTTTTTATTAATAATAATTAAAATTTATTTATTTAATATATATGAAGTGATAAATAGATATAAAAATTTCATTTAACCTACTAAATTTTAATATGAGAGGATGAACTCCTATATATACAAAGGAAGTAAGGAAATCTCGTCCGTGCCAAATTGGGAAAGCATAGCTTTGAATTGTAACCCAAAAGTAGTTAATTCTATAGTGACAGCAGTTATGGGGAAATCATATTCATGAATGGAGCGGGCAGCTGGTGAGCATAGCTCGGAATTGTGACACTAGTTATGGAGAAATTAAATACATCAATGGACGCATCAGCAAGTAGCTGGATATCTGATTTGGCAAGAAATTCGGTTATCACAATATTCGTATCTTTAATGCCAAAAAAGACTAAATTTCCTTAAATCATTTACCATTTTTATTTGTTGTTTCAGCTTTTGGAGGAAAAGGATGATTGCAATTTGTTTCGACAATGCCACCAGGACTTGCTTGATGTTGAGGGTTTTCTATCGCACGACATAGTAAGTGCCCTGCAGCAACCTTTGTCTTCGGAAGGCTACTCTTGTTACACTTCCAATTCCGAAACTTTCAAGAATTCATCTACAGAAGAAACGAGTTTGGAGAGGCCCACCAAGCTGCTTGTAACGAATAGCTATAGTTGGAACTCGTCCACCATCATGGAACACTTTTCACCGAATCTTTCTCTCGTGTCCTTTCCTTCTTCTCCCACCTCCCAGATTCTGTCTTTTGAGAACTCCAACTCCAACTCATCCCCTGCCAACACCACCCTGTTTCATGGTTTTCATTGTACCTTAAACCCAAAACAGAACGAGGTTGTCTCAGTGTCACCGCCACAACCGCGAAATGTGAATTTCACGACTCAAACCCAAAAAGGGTCATCAAAAAAACAAAAAATTGAAACTAAAAACCCCCAAAGCCAAGGGACTGTGAGGTCTCCCACCAACGTTCAAGATCACATCATGGCCGAGAGAAAAAGAAGAGAGAAGCTCAGCCAGAGCGTAGTTGCTCTTGCAGCTCTTATTCCCGGCTTAAAGAAGGTACAGTGTCCCCTCATCAACTAAGTATATTGTTGTCAATTGGTTAGATAAAAAAATAATCCAACTCGCTTCTTTATATGGTACGAAACTCTCTGTGTTTAGAGTTTGATTGGCGTTGTTTCTCATATTTTTTTTGTGAAATTTTTTAACACAAATAAGTGGATATGAGTATTGTCCACCATTCAAATTCAATCGATGTGAGTTGTCATGTTAGAAAATAATATAAATTATTAAATTTTTTTAATATACACCATAAAAAAAATTAATTCAATCCAAAAATTTAAATTTATGTATTGAATTAAAAGAACTAATTATTCCTGCGTCTAACTTGATCATATGCAAAATCTGTGAATGTATAGATGGATAAGGTTTCAGTCCTTGGAGACGCTATTGAGTACGTGAAAAAGCTCCAAGAGCGTTTGAGACTGCTCGAAGAACAGCGCAACAAAAGAGCGGTAAATTCTATGGTTATAGTCAACAATGATTCCTCCTTATGTGAGAGCTTTGACGCTGCTAGTTGTTGTGAAGCACGCCCACACGTGAAAGCGAGAGTGTTAGAGAAGGACGTGCTGCTTCGGATCCACTGCCCCAAGCGAAAGGATATTTTGCCCAAATTACTGGTCGAGATTCAAAACCTTCGTCTCTTTGTTCTCAGTAGCAGTGTCCTACCTTTCGGGGATTCTATCCTTGACATAACCATCGTTGCTCAGGTGGATTAAATATTTCTGGATCCCTAATAAAAAAATACCGGGGCAACTTTAGTTCTATACAAAAAAAAAAATTAATCAGTTGGTCTCTTTGAAATTCGAAGTGAACTCATTTTATTATTTTTGAAGATTAATATATGTCTTTTTTTGAATTTATGAGAGATTATAATTTCAACTAAATGGATCCACTTTAAATTTTTCAGGGACTTTATAAGGACTAAAGTGAGAACTGTACTTTTTATTAGGGATCAAAAAATTTATTTACTCATCATAAAATTGGGAAATATTATTTTCCTTTCACCTATCTTCTTCCTATCATGTTTTCTCACTTCGATTTTTGTACCTCATCTTTTCTTTTCTTTTTTATAATGGTGAGACCCACCTATTTTCTCTGTACAACATCAGGTAACTATCTCATGTGAAAAGATACTAATAAAATCCATAAAAATTTATCTTTCTTTGGTTTTCTTTTGTGCCTTTCATTTTTTATGTTTCTTTCTCTTGTTCACGATCTTTTTTTTCTTTTTTAGAAATTATTTTTAGAGATAAACTCCTGTTTAATTTTTTAAAACTTAACTGAAGATCTCACGATTTCGCAGATGGGCACAGGCTATGACTTGAGCATAAATGATCTTGTAAAAAAGATACGGGTGGCTACATTGAAATTCATGTCATAGCAGGAACGTGGTCCCAGATCTGCACCGGTGCACGTTCCCAAACATTGATTCAACTCAGAAGCTGATTCAATTGCTGCGCCTGCACACGTAAATCCGAGATAGTAGTTTTGCTATTGAATTTGCACGTGATTTTCCCTGTATTCAACATACATTTAAATGCAAGAAGATATAGTTAAATTATTTTTTAATAAAATATTTTTAGAGAATTTAATAAAAAAATGTTTTGTAAAAAACTAAGTTGAAACATGCATGTATTTAATTCAAAAGAGTACAAATATTTTCAGTACTCTCTAGTCTTTTTTAGTACTCGGTCAATCTCTTATTAAAAATGTAAAAAAATAACTTATTTAATATTATTTGTCCTGTACTTTCTTTATGATTAATGCCATATAAATTACACTTTTAACTATTTAAACGATAATTATTTTGTCTATCAAACAAAAAAAATGATAATTATTTTATAATGGTCAAAAAAAGTAAAAACTAAGTTTTGTGGCAAGAGGAAAAATATTTTCTTGTGACCAGAGAGGAATTAGTTTAGGAGGAGGTTTGAGTTAATAGTAGAAATATTTTATGTTGGATTTGTGTTTTGTCTGTATTCAGGACATTTTTTCTTTCAAAAAATTTGTCGAAAAGTATGCTATTTTAATATAAATATTACGAAATCACCTTTTTTAAAAAAAAAAAAAGTAAATTGAACCGCTACTTCATACTATATCTTGCACTCAAATGTTATAGTTATTAATAAAGATTTCCTTATAGTTATTAAACTAGCCTTGTTAATGTGATAGTTATTAATTTAACCTATATATATATATATATATATATATATATATATATATATATATATATATATATATATATATATTCAGTAGCTTATGACGTGGAAAATAAAAGAATCAAAATAAAAACAACACTATACCACTAATTATACTTAAACTGCTGAGTGTTGTTACACGTGGATTGATATACACCTAATCCTACTACGGTACGTAGGACCTTGCTTAATTCGATTACCAAACACCACGAAACAAACTTGGGCTAAAGCACCGTTTTAAAGTTTTTGGACAAAAGAATTGTCTGGTTAAAGCTGATTGGATAAGTTTTTCCAAAGTAATGCAGTCAAACATGTCAGTTATGCTGACGGGACTAGTCCCGTCACTGATACTGACGGGACTCGTGCCACGTCAGCGCCACGTAGGCAGTCCAATTACCGTAAAGCTTCGGAAGGCCATAACTTGTGACTCGGGTATCCAAATCAGATGATTTTTTTTTATTTCACATAACTTTTCAAGATCTACGTAATGACACCTCATTTGATATATTTTATCTCCCATAAACATAGTCTTATGGATAAACACTCTTGTGATTGTGATACAATTGTTACAAATTCAAACTATGTTTGTGGGAGATAAAATATGTCAAATGAGGTATCATTGCGTAGATCTCAAAAAGTTATATGAAATCAAAAAAAAAAATCATCTGATTTGGATACCCGAGTCACAAGTTATGGTCTTCCGAAGATTTACGGTAATTGGACTGCTTACGTGGCGCTGACGTAGCACGAGTCCCGTCAGTATCAGTGACGGGACTAGTCCCGTCAGCATAGGTGACATGTTTGACTGCATTACTTTAGAAAAACTTATCCAATCAGCTTTAAACGGGCAATTTTTTTGTCTAAAAACTTTAAAATAGTGCTTTAGCCAACAAACTTGTAACCACAGTTTTGATATTGCTTATTTTTTTTTGTTTGGGTACGGAGGGCAGAGGGGGCTGCACCGCTGATATTGCTTATTTTAATGGAAGAAATATTTTATGTTGAGTTTGTGTTTTGTCTGTATTATGCGCATTTTTTCATTTAAAAAATTATTTAAAAGCGTGCTATTTTTTTGTTGTTGAATAAAAGTGTGCTATTTTAATAAAATAGTACAATTACTTAAAATATTGATGGACATTGCCTAATAATTTTTTTTAATTGAACCTCTAGTTCATATATTATATTGTAAGCTAGGGTTTAGACTTTAGCCTAAATGAACTAGGTCCTCGTAAATTATTTTATACCAGACTTGATTTGTTAGTTTAATATAAGTAAAAGAGGAAGGTTATATTTATAACCTATTTTTGTTTACAACCTTTTACAACCATAATTTTAACCGATGATTTTCGTCAATCAATGGTTATTATTTTCGTAAATTAAATTTATTATTTAATTATTAATTCGCAATAAATGATAATCGTTGATTGACGAAAATCAATGATAGACTCAATTTCTATCAAGGAAGAAGAAAGGGAGAAGAAGGGGTTGCGAAGAACAGAGAAGAAGTAATTTTTCTTATTTCATCAATCAATATCCCTTACACTGGTGTTTCCCCTCTTATACCTTTAATGAATCTCAACAACAACATAAAGTAAAACAACAATATGTAACTAACTCACTATCTGTTATGGACCGCCTAATGATACACCCACATGTACACAATCGTTACTTTTGATTATGCTTAATCATCTAATCTCCTTGGTCTTCTGGTCTCTCTCTTGGATCTTCTTGTTGCGATGGATCTCTCTAATTCTTGTCCACCCGGTTCCACTTCCTCTTCCATACTTGCATGTAGATCTGGTTCTAACTCCCTTTCCTCAGTTGTTGTCAGTATTGTTTCCATAGCTTCTGTAGTTTGATGTCCTTCACTTGGGCTTTGATCGCTGACTTGGGTGGTCGAGTCATTCAGCTCTTCTATTGGGCTGGTGGTTGGATCATTCAGCTTTTCTATTGGGCTGTTGCACATTGGGCCCGTATCAATACCTCCTCCATTAAAATCAACCTTGTCCTCAAGGTTGAAATTAGGATACTGGTTAGAGAACTCATCCAAGGCCTCCCATGTTGCATTCTCTAGTGACATACCAGACCATAATACTTGCACTTGTTGAACCAGAGTACCTTCCAGAGACGTAGTACGGGTTGCTAGTATCTGTTGAGGCTCCAAAACCGGCAGTCCTCCTTGAAAGCACTCGGGCAGGGGAAAGGGAACAATATTGTGATCTCCCTTGAATAGTTTCAGCAAAGAAACATGAAAAGTATGATGTATTTTAGCATGTGGAGGTAATGCTAACTTGTAGGCAACATTTCCTATACGTTTCAGAATTGGAAATGGCCCAAAATATCGCTTTGCTAACTTATGGGAAGTCCCGTAAGCCACTGAAGATTGTCTATACGGTTGGAGCTGAACCCATACAAGATCTCCCACCTTGTAGGTAATATCCCTTCTATGTTTGTCTGCATTTCTCTTCATAGTTTCTTGGGACTGTAACAGATTCTCTCTTAGCTGGTGCAAAACAGCTTGTCTGTCAACTAATATTCTATCTACTTCAGCCACTGTAGCAGTATAATTTAAATAGTCCAAGACAGAAAGAGGTTCGCGACCATAGACAACTAGAAAAGGAGTCATACCAGCTGAATTATGATAAGTGGTATTGTAACAATACTCTGCCCAATGTAAAATCTTGGACCACTTCTTTGGACTATCAGCAACAAAGCACCTAAGATATTGTTCCAAAACTCTATTGACCACCTAAGACTGGCCATCCGATTGTGGATGATAAGCAGTGGTACGTCTGAGCTTGGTTCCACTGAGTTCAAATAACTCAGTCCAAAATTTGCTAAGGAACAATGGGTCTCTATCTGAAATCAGAGACACAGGAAGCCCATGTAATTTGCACACAATATGTGAAAACAACTCAGCCACCTTGACAGCAGTAATTTTTTTTGGTAATGCTCCGAAATGTGCCTGTTTAGAGAACTTATCCACTACCACTAGAATAGTGGTATAGCCATAAGACATTGGTAGGCCAATCACAAAGTCGAGTGATAAGTCTTCCCAGATTCGGGTAGGAAGTTGTATAGGCTGCAATAGACCAACAGGGGCCTGGGTTGAATACTTTACTTGTTGACACACAACACATGAATTGACAAACTCCTTCACAGCCTTCTTTAGTCCAGGCCAAGTAAAACTGGCAGAAGTTCTGGCTAAAGTTTTTTGAATACCTGTGTGACCACTAGCTAAAGAGGAATGATTTTCGTGGAGGACCTGGTTCACTAGGGAAGAGTTAGGATCAAGTAATAACTTGCCTTTGCTCAATACTAACCCCTCACGAATCTCCAAGTCTGGATGGGAAGTGGGATCCTCTGCTAGCTGCTGGTACTTTTGCTTGAAAAAATTATTACTCTGATTCTCTTTTTTTAAATCCTCTAAGATGGAAAAATACACTACTGCTAGTGTTTGTAATGACAGAACCGAGGGATAACGGGAAAGTGCATCAGCCACCCTGTTTTCTTTTCCTGGCTTATATACTATAGAATATTGAAATCCAAGTAATTTAGCCAGATAATATTGTTGTTCAGGGGTTTGAATTACCTGGTCCAGCAAGGCACGTAAGCTTTTCTGATCGGTTCTGATAAGAAACTTCCTTCCAAGTAGATATTGTCTCCATTTCTTAACTGATTCAGTGATAGCATAGAGTTCGCATACATATGCAGAAGCTTGTTGCATCCTTAAGGTCAGCTTCTTGCTAAAATATGAAATAGGGTGCTCATTTTGAAGTAACACTGCTCCTATGCCCAGATCCGATGCATCTGTCTCCACCACAAAATCCTGGTTGAAATTGGGAAGAGCTAATACCGGGGCTGAAGACATTGCTGTCTTTAAGTGGTCAAAGGCAAGTTGGGCTGCTGTCGTCCAAAAAAAGGAATCCTTCTTTAATAAATCAGTAAGGGAAGCGGCTATGGCAGCATAGTTACACACAAATCTCCGATAATAACCCGTGAGGCCAAGAAATCCTCGTAACTGTTTGAGATTCTTTGGTGTAGGCCATTCCAGCATGGCTGTGACCTTAGTGAAGTCCATACTAACCCCGTCGGCAGAAACAACATGGCCAAGACATTCCACCTTAGTTTGAGCAAATGAACATTTACTCCTCTTTACATAGAATTTATTATTCTGTAGAGTAGAGAGTGCCACTTGTAAGTGGTGCAAATGAACATTCATGGAAGGGTTGTATATTAGAATATCGTAAAAAAAAAACA